ACGCGAGCAAATTTGAAATATTGCAACAATTAACCTTTCAGTTGGCTAAAATATGCCGGCAACGCTTTAGCTTCCTTACTGTATGTATTCGCTGAACAGCGTTTATGGATGTTTCCCCAAGCATCAGTTTCCTTGTTTATTTCCGTAACTATAGCCAATCAGCAATAAGTCAATAATGCCGCAACAGGTAGGCCTACAACAATTGCAATTTCTCCACTCAGCCGCTCAGACACTTCTGTCGCTCAAACAGATATTCAAGCATGGTTGCAAACATTGTCTCGTTTTTGTAGTTTTGAGTGATATTTGTCAGTTTTCAGTTGTGTTTCAAGGAAATAATAGTGAATCAATTAACTTAATTGTCATTATGTCCTCCCCGGAGCTTTACTTTAGTTGCAATGATCGAAATTGAATCTCGCAAATGCTGCGATGGACAAGGCTGAACTTAGCTATATCAGTACCTGCAAACGGCACATGGTTACATAATTTTAATAAAAATTATGATTTCAAACACGTAAACCAGTTTATATGCGCCAACACACCAAAACACTCTCAGAATAAGCATAAAGTTTGCAATAGTGGAGTATAAGAGTAATTTTTCCGGGGTCAATGGTCGGGGAAACGTTCATAGCGCTGGTGCGCTATCAGTTCTTGTCTTTAGAGATCGCCCTCGTCCGCTATTGCCCACCTTAAATGAAGCGATATGGGCATGTTTTGTTCGTTTTGCGTGTTACGCCACAAAGGATGTAGTGCCACATTATAAAATACACACACAGCACGTTTCTTGTGTCTTTTTCCCCACGCCAAAAAAGGGAGCTTTGTCGGTGGTACGCGGCCATAGTAAAAAACAGTAAAGTGGTACGCGGTCAGTAAAAGGTTGAGAACCACTGCTCTAGCCCGACGGCCGAAGAAGAGAGCAAGAGATGTGTTTTTTCTCGCATGTGTGATAGATAGGTCGCAGTCTCATAATACAAATTCGGATGTTACCACAATGCACGGACCCTACTTGACAGCATTGAATAAGGGGTAAGCATGTAAACATGAAGAAATATATACACAACGCAAACACGTACACTATAGTCTGTGACACTATGTATATTACTTCCTAATGACAGGTGACCCGTCGAAATTTTCAGTTATGGCTCGTACTGGACTTAGTCCAGAAAAAATGTGTGTATTAACAGTTTGTAATATATCTGATTTATTTTATCAATTTGAGAAATGTTGTCCCCAGTATCTGTGTTGTTAATTGAAATCTATATACGGAGTGTATATAATAAACAAGAAATATTAAGATTTCGTGTTTTGCCAACGAGCCAGCTTGAAGAATATTTAACAAAGGGTTACACACGATATCTTCGCATACGAATCATGCCGAATATGCGTAATAAATTATTTTTACCATGCTGCAATTCATTATCGCGTGTATAAAGCAATTGCATTCATACAGTGTGAGACTATGCCGCTGGGTTGGCAATTTTTTTCAATGAATGAGTAAAAATTTATATTTTATTTGAAAAAAAGAGTGTGAGTCGTGAAAATTCAATCTATGTCTGCATCTATTTAAAAGACCTATAATCCTTGGTTGGTATTTAGCCCTTGTATCAGTATTTCTGGCAATTTTTCCACGAAAGTCATGCAAAAAAACACGAATTCGCATGTATAGGAATTACCGTTTATAATGTTACGGCCATTATTCTCATGATTATTTCATATAAAAAAAAAAGGACTTTTTAATCTGTTTTCAATCGCCCTGCAGTGACTATCTATTCAGGCGATATAAGCGGTTTTTCATTACTAGATTTGTCATTTAAATTTTTTTTTCCCAAATGTCAGTATATTTTTAATTGTTTATTGATCGAAAAATATAATGGATCACTTTGTGACCTAGTCAGGTAATACGAATGGTGGTTACTTTCGTTAGTAATTAAATGAGATTCTTTGAATGAATAGATGTTTTGAAAAAAACGTTGGCAACTCGTTAGAAACAACATATTTAGATCATTATTCCTAAAAAGTCACGTTTACAGGTTAAAGGGTAGTCTGCAATTTCGCACGATTACACGATTTAATCTACTGCATTCATTGCCGACACTTTATACAACAATTTTTTTAAAAACGTTTGATGCATTGGAATATTTGGGCGTAAATTCAAACAGACGCATAGAGCTACTCAAGCGAACACAAACAAAACCGCAAACACAGCTAACTCCGATCACGCCCCCAATGGATAACAGCTCTGGTTGTTATGGCGACATGACGTATTTGCCCTTAAATCCAGTGGGTATAAACAAAAAGTTTTTTTGATTGCGCTTTACCAAAAGTGATTCAAGCTGACAGTAATTGCACTAAATACTTTTCTTTTTAATGTAAGTTGATTTCGGTTTCGAACTCGATTTAAAAAAGAACAATAGGTCGTGATTGTTCCAGACAGTGTGTGGGATTTCCAGTCTAAATATTGCAAAATCGTGAGTACAATTGAGATCGTGATAAATGCTATGTTGAGGTCATACAAGAATAAAGAGAAATTAGAACGAATTTGTAACCGACCTATCACAACTGAAGCTATTTGCTATACCTACTGTCAAATTCCAGCTCAATATGCCTTCCGCAGAGGAAGCTACTCGAATGGTGTTTGGGATCATATATCCATGTATATAACCAACTATGGGCACGATAACGAAACAATCATACCAATAGCAACGATATTGCTCTCATATATCAATGTTGGTCGTGACGCATTTGAGAGTCATCGTAGTCGTTTCTATATGATTCAAAGATAACACAAATTTTTCATATTAACTTGTTATTTATGTTTCGATCAACGAATTTGTAGTTTGCACTTTCAGGCCGTTTTCAATTTGTCCCTTCAAAACAGCTTTTAGTTAGACCAGGGGTGGGCAACTTCTTTAGTCGGCAGGCCGTATGTGGGAAAATGAAGTCCTCAGTGGACCGGATTATAACATGAATAGTATTCAATATCTTAATCAAATATTCATTCGCTAATGCAAGAAAGAAAGTTATAAATCGCGTTTAAAGTAGAGTTTAAACTTTACAAAAAATAGAGACCAAAAAACACATGAATACATCATAATGTACTAAAAGTGTAATAATGTAATATCACAATGTACTGATGTACAGTCAGCGGGCCGGACTCGGCCCGCGGGCCGTATGTTGCCCACCCCTGAGTTAGACCATGCTCCGAACTTGAGATACGGAAATTGCATATTTTTGTAACTTTGTCTCAGACAATGATATACACCCGAAATAGTAATAACATCCTTGTAACATTTGTGTCACAAACAAAAATTAGAAAAAAAAAGCACATCCCGTCGTTCATAGTGTAACGGTCTATGGATACTCATTGACATTACACCAACTAACCTTCGCAATCGGATGTATTTTGATTCAATGTATAATAATCATAAGTATACGTATGTTGCAAAAAGTCATTTGGCATTTCACGGCAAATCACGCCGTTTTCCAAAACGTATTATTCAAGGAACGTCGTGCTTTGTGACATAATTTATGAACTTATGAACTATATTGAAGCTTACCTAATAAACACGTGAGCCAATAATTAGGGTCGATTGTTGAATATGTAACATTTGGACTATATAACTAGCTTAATCGTGGATAGATTTTAGTCGTTGCCTCGCAGATACTACTATTGCGCAGAAATCATGAAAGAATTGCCTTGCACTGATACAACATATTATGTATAATTTCACGCGTAGATCGCGTTAAATAAAACAGTTTCAGGCTTTAGTTATGGATTATATTACTTATCGTATTACTTATTACGATTTTCATGTTATGTAGCCTACATAATATTTCTCTCACGTATCAATTAAATGTTGAAAATTCGCATGAATGGAATAATACTTCAACTAAGATTTTCGAACTTCAAATTTGGTGGAACCTAAACCTCTTGTTTTAGCCTTTGCCCGAGTGGCTTTATAATTCTGTGTGTGTGTGTGCTTTGTATACATTGACATTGGACGCGACGCAAAATTTAATGTAAGTTAGGTCACTGGCAACCAACTATCTTTTGCAACATCTGCCAATTTGATCATTTGTAAGAAAATATGAGGTAGAACAGTAAGTAGCTTGATATTTTGTGCGTCAATATATAATAGAGGCAAGTTGTTAGTTCCATTAGTTGCAGGGAAATATGTGGCAAATCTCGAATTCATGATTTACACCAAATGCAATGAGCCCAAGTTTAGTATTCACATTGCAACAACAGCATGGATATGGCTGCAAATTGAATATTGTCTTTGATGGTGTCGGGAAGTGTATTCCCTATTTGGCCTGCGCACAAAAATTTATTTGCGTTTTCCAAATTAGCGAAGTCCTATTTTTCCAACAAGTTAATACAGTTTTACTCACCCATTTTTTGTCTTGTTCACAAGGATAAGATTGCCAACTATTTCAAGGTTCATCAAAAAAATTGTGTTTATGATTATTACATACCTGACAATCAAACGCACAACTAGACAGTGGCTCAAAAATCATGAAAAAAATTAATTTTCACTTCCGAAAATACTCGGTTAAGAGGAACATATTCTGATGTTTTTGAAGATTTCTAACCTTTCAATATTATATAAACTTACGCGACCTGATATGCCAGTTTTTCGCGCTCCCGTAGTATGTGCACCAAGATGGCGGACACTGGAACGTAGTATGTGTACCATGTTAGGATTAGGCCATCATTTTATTCTAATTTTTCGAGTTCGGAGTTTGGAGATTAGCCGAATGACTCCCGTAGTATTAGTACCTGAAATTATGGCCCAACCCTAACCTGGTACACTTACTACGTTCACGTGTCCGCCATTTTGGTTCACATTCTACGGGAGTACCAGTTGTTCTCGCTCACTCACTTCACGCACTCACTCACTCAGTGATTTAAGGAAAATATTTATAGAAAGATTTTTTATTGTTCACACGTCATTCAAAATATTATATTATAATATCAATATTTACAATCCAGCATTCTACAGTTAGAAGTGAAGTGAATTATTTGTTCAACAATGGCAAATACAAATTTTTTTTTATTTTGTGATTGCACTGATGATCATTACAACTCTATTCTTCGTGCAAGTCAATGCGGAACCTAGAGAGCCTCATTCAAACGGCCGTACGTATTTAATGTTGAATTATTTGTCAAAAATATATTTTTATCCTAATATTAATATATCTCTAGTGTGTACGCCTTAAATAATTTTTCTGAATTCCTGCAAATTTAAACATAGTTTGCAAATTTTATTATTTATTTTCAATATCTGGCATTTTTGCAAAATAATCAACATCATGAAAATAACGAAGCGTATCCAATTTTCCTGTTTGTAATTTGTTGGATCTGATCTCACGTTTTTGTGATTTATGATCTATTGATCTAATAAATCAGCTTTGAAACAATTTTAGCCATTTATTAGTAAATAAAATAGATACAGATTCTGTTAAATATTCACCACAAACTTCTGTTTTTATTTAGTTCTCGATGAAGCTAACGGATACAATTTTGATGGAGAGTAAGTTCATAATAAGTTTATTTTATATTTTTATTATTTTCAACGTTTAATTACTCCTAAAAATTAAAATATTTGTAAGCAGTTTCATGGCAATTTTTTAGATCTTTTCAACTTTGATTTTCTTCAGACGACTTCATGTCTTATAATATGTCATGTAATAAGTTCTCATAAAATACTGAAACGAATATATCTCATTTATATTAATCAACCCTTTTTTTTCATTTCAGATTGGATTCAGATTAGAATATATTCTCATGTTCCAGAAGGCGTATAAAAGTGAAAGACAATTTTTTCTTTATGTAATGCCATTTCCATGTTATTATGGCTTTCTTCATATATATCATCCTGCATATTCACACGTATTCTACAAATGTTAGCAGTATGTTATTGTTTGTGTAATATCGATTGTTATCACACGTCATTCAAAAAATGTTAGTTTTCTTGTCATGTAACAAAAAAAATGTATGTCAACGGAAAACGCTATTTTTAATACTAATTTTATGGTATTTGGTAGAATACGACCACGTGTGACAATCCAGCTTTTTCCGACAAGGAATACAACGCAAATTCAGGAAATAAATTTATTTGAGCGAGACAGCTATTCAGAAGTATATACAAGATAAGAAGTGTATTTGATGTACATATTTGTTTCACCTTATTATAAATAGAAAATAAAAATATCAATGCGAGAACATATAAATGAGGTGCGATGGGCACATTTGCCATCATCTGAAATATCATGAACTATGGCAGCGGTTCCCAAACATTTGCGGCGCTAAATCACCATGGCTCACTTACACGAGAATAAAATGCTGCATAAGGAATAAGAGTAAAAGGTTAATTCTTATTTCTCATTTCTGCCTGATTTTTCCTCGAAATGCTAAATAAATTACTCATGTTCGCTAAACTAGGTTCACCAGATAAATAGTAGCTAACTGTAAACGGGTAAACTGTAGGTATTGCAGAAAATCGTGTCTATGTCTATTCTTAGGTAACAATAGACGAAAAAGTACAAGTACACCAAAAATATAAAAGTTCAATATTTCATTGATAAAAAATGATAATATATCCGTCCCTAACAGCGACTGGCAACAATGCTTTTGCAGCCTTTACCACATAGCAAAACAATTGATCTTTTCATTTCTGTCAACTTGGGTTAATGCAGCGGTTCCCTTTTGGAGGTGCATCAATTTAAGGGGTCATTTGAATGTTTTTTTGGGATACGAGAACTAGATGCTACAATGCATTCTATTTTGCTCCCTCAAATAATGATCTTTGGAAAACAAGATGTTGTAAATTTAAATCACCTACTATATAACATAGAATCACACTCACTGGAGCAAGATGAATTTACTGCGGTCTAAATCATTCGATCATTCTTTCAGAGTGGTATTCCTCTCGCAAAGTTTCCTGAACTCGTGAAATATTTTGCTGTAGCGTTCTACACTCTGAAGTATATGCTTGCGAATGCATGTTTACACATACGATTTTTTTTTAATTGTCTCATTTTTTAGACTTGTGGAATTATAAAAATGAAAGAAACAGAAAGCTTCTTATTAATGCAGATATTTATTGTATATATATGGCCCAGAGGGTTGAGTGTTTATGCACGAGTGCTAACTGTCAAAAAAAAATTAAACAAGCGAAAATTTGCATGCGATTACCAAAGCGTCAATAGTTGCTATGAGACACTCAACCACCTGATAAAGAAAGATGACAAAAGCTTTAAAACTATCACCTCTTCGACCCCTTTACTGCAACCCTGTTTACTCTTCTGAGCCTTCGGAAGCTCAAAAGCTGTGGTGGAGTTATCAATTATATTTTCGATCGCTAGCGTCATCGGCTACACTGTGACTTTAGCTGGAAAAATTCAACGCCGTATGGTAATGGTTAGTGGTATTGAATTGCTCGATTCATCCCCTACTAGAAACAACAAAAAAATATCGAATAAATCAGAAACATTGGACACAAAATAACGTCAGGGAATTTTGTATTCTGATAGGAAGAAAAATAACATTATACTATTTTCTAACATAACTTTTTTTATAGTACATATTTCCTCTTAAACATTGATTCTCAACATTGCATAGATTTTATTATGCTTGAGTACATTCTTCGTTCAACAAACAAAAGCGCCAAACAATCTATGGCCAAGTTTGTGGTATAAAATACATATAACTAGATAGCTGACAGCTGAATTACCAGCTGAACGTATTAATGTTTACTTCAACTAGTGTCTGTTTGTTCCTTGTCAGCACTTTCAAAACTATTTCGCGTTCCACGAGTTCTAAATATCAGGAGATCAATTTATACTATATTGACATCAGGAAACCAAAATTTACTGCATTTTGGATGAGAATCATGAATGATTAATTAAATATTACGAAATTATCAACAATGAGTTTCGTCAAAAGCATTTTTACATTAAATTTCTAAAAATATGGTTTTGTCCAAGTCTTTATCAAATTATTGTTTTTTCTCCAGATTATTAACTACGTTTGTCAGAATAGGTTTAAATTAATTAATTCAACTAAATACAACAAAAGGTGGCTTTAGTGTAGTTAAAGTATCCCACGTTAAAATTCATATAGTAAACGTTCCCATCGGTACGACTTACATGAATGCCTCATAATTATCCCCTGATAAATTTTCAAGTTTTAATTTTTGACTCTAAAATATATGTTCTACTTGATGTTTCCTTAATCAGATGTTTGCAGTATATTCATTGAATTAAAAAAGTCCTGGTCACTTTCACGAGGTCCAAATATCATTGCCAATTAGTATTAAGAAAACAACAAACATTCAGATTTTATCATAGTAAATTGTTTTATAAAACGTACACAAAGACTGGCCCAAAGTCTTTTTTCAATTAAACACGATAACAACAATTATAAAACACATCGCTGAATTATTAGTTAGATGGCACAAAATGATGAACGAAGACAAGAAAAGTTATTCGAGGTTTACCTGAATTTAAGAAATAGGTATATTAGTTGTGGCTAGGGATGGGCAATATAGAATACCGAATCCGGAGGATTCGAATCCCAAAGTATTCGAATCCAACAGGATCCGATAACAGGATTCGGTTTCCGCCTCTCCGGCGCCATGCGTCGATTTTTGCATTTCGGGTTTTTAAATATCAATTGAAGACGAGCGTTTTTCTCGCGTGGAAATCTCTCTCGTTTAAATAGACTTGCGTCTGCTCAGAAAGAACCGTAAAATCGGTAAACTTCAAACACTGTAATCTCAATCGGCGTATTCTGGTCAGGAAGTCGGCGAAGTACATCTCATGGCGAAGACTCGTTTCGCCGTGCGTCAATTTTGTATTTCGGGCTTCAATTTATCAATTAAAGACGAGCGTTCTTTCTCGCGTGGAAATTTCTCTCGTTTAATTAAACTTGCCTAATCGCAAAGAACCCGTAAAATCGGTAAACATCAGACACTGTAATCTCAATCGGCGTATTCTGGACAAGAAGTTGTGAAGTACACCTCGTTATTGCACCATTTTTTGCGTTTTCCTGCTTTGCTATCTAGCTAGGGTTTAATAATAATTATTTGTGCCGACTTACTGGCGATATTCCGGAAATCTGATTGCAACAATCTTCAATTAAGCTTCATTTACATTACTGTAAATGATTTTCCGCGACCGGCGAGTTTTCCCCAGAAAATGATGCATGTAAACCAAAAGCCAGGTGTGAAATGTTATAACATTACTTGCGATTAATTTAAATCAAATATTATTTAGGAATAATTTTGTTACACCAGTTTCCGAAATACAAAGGTATATCGCAAAACACGACGATCTGTCGCATTCAAATTTCACTCTCAAAAGATTACATATCTTTCGGTCCGTTTCTATCGTTCAAGATAGACGCACGTTTGATCGAGTGTCTGTAGTAATTTTATTCGCCGATAAATTTAAAAAAAGATGCCACATCTGGCGAAAATAGTTACGTATTGAGTTTGAGTAGGGCCAAGTCTGGGTGGATAATAATATGTAACGATATAAATAGAAAATGAATTCGTCTTTAGATGATATTAACTAATAACTAACTACGAAATTGCGTTAACAGGAACCTTGTTTTTTGCACGTCTTGATCGCACAGAATAAAAAGTTGATTTTAATTAATAGTGGTTAAATTTAATATTTTACAGCGGTCGCATAGGTTGCAGTGGCCACACGCTGGTCCTGCATCTAATTAATTCTCAGCGGGTGTGTTTTAGTACACTTGACACTAACATTAATAATGATTTAATGCCGTTTCATATCTATTTTTGTATTTAACCTCTTACCATTAAAGTGTTTGAAGCGTGTCTTGATTTAGCATATCAGTATTTAGAGATTACATACATTTGGAACAATTGAAAGCAAAAATATTGTAATATTCTTAGATGTTATTGTCCTGGGAGATGCCTGTTTAGTATCAAATCCAATGTTAAGGACATTTCCAAATAAATAATACATTTATAGAAATACCTTTATAATTTTTTGACACCAAAATCCAGCAATCAGGAAAATTCTCACTATTTGAATAGGTATGAAAATAGAATAGGATTCGGTATTCTGGATTCGATTTAACTATTCTAGAATATTCTAGAATAGTAAATTATTCTACATTGCCCATCCCTAGTTGTGGCATATAATTGTAATAGATAAAATTTCAACATGATTTTTTTTATGAATACGTTTCTAATTCGATTCTAGACGAATAGATGACTTGGAGATCTTAATTACATTGACGTTCTTGATTTACCTTCCCGGGTCTAAAGTCTATGCTCATCAACTCATCTTGAATGTACTATTATTGGCGGAAGGAGCGTAGCCATAAATTTTCAAATGGGTAGGGGGTTTTAAAATTTACAAGTTAAAGCATAACAGCTAGCGGGTCCAGAAAACGTGGGTTCAAGTGTCATTAGAGTCATTTTCACATTCCTATCGGGGGAAGGAGGGTATCTCCTGGGTTCGCCCCTGATGGGCGGGCAGTGCCAGCCCGAACGATTTTTGGGTCGGTTTATCAATAGTATTCCATACTTCGATCAATGACTCCTTTTGAAATGGAAAAAATAAATTAAAATAAATCGCAAATGTACTTTGAAAATACATAAATGTAATGAATGAAACAATTTCTTGAAAACTTACTCTTCGTCAAAATTGTCAGAGCTGAGCAAAACATCTCTATCGACAACTAAAAGAAAAGATAATGAATTAATTTTGAAAGGATCAGTGTTCGTGTTGTCGCATATTTTAAACAAACCTTATCAGTACTCAATGTTGTCAGTATAATAAATATAAAAACATCCAAATTGCAAGAAACAACGCTTTACCTTGTGAAGTTGAAATTGCTTGTAAACGTTGGTAAAGCATAGGACGCAATTGTGTAAATTATGCAGTTGAAACACACAAATTCCTAATCATTTAAATAAATTTTAATAAAAATAAATTAGCATTCCAAAAAGCTTAGTAATATGCATTACTTACAGCTTGGTGGAAGTCTT